CTGCTCGGCATCAGCGATGGCCGTCTCCAGGTTAGAGCACTGCGGAGCAAGTGCATCCAGCGCTTTGAGCCAGAACGCAGTTCTGAGATCCTGCTCAGACACCTTCCCCTCATTTGGTCCTGACCGATAGTAAATGCTCTGAGGTCCTCCCAGTGTCCCCCGCTTTGGACATTGCTACAGATGAATCTGTCCTTTCTCCTAACTCCAGCGTGGCTCACCTCCACTCATGCGTTGGCATGTGAAGCTGGAGCTTCCCTACCTTGGGAAAGAGGAGGAAGGGCACTGAGAAGGCAAGCTCCCTGGGCCTGTGGCCCCTGCCCTCTCCCTCCTGGTCTGTAACACTGGCTGCAAGATTCTAATGCCAACCCAAGACAAAAACCAAAAAAAAAAAAAAAAAAAAAAAAAAAAAAAAAAAAAAAAGAGGGATTAATAAAGTTCCTTACTGATGAAATTTCTGTCCAGTAAACCTGCCACACTGAGTCTGGCCTCCAAAATTCCAAAGAGCATCACCCTAGGGGAGTAATAGCCTCAAAAGATACTCTTGTTACCAGGTTTCCCAAGTGGGCAGGCAGCTGCTGTCAGGTGGAGGCTAACGTGCAATATAAAACTGCAGATGAGGCTCTGGGCTGCGGCCATGGTCCCGGACGGCTGCCGTGGGCTTTTGGACCTCTTAGTCTTGGTGTGCGTTCCATCACTAGGCCAAGGTTTTGGTGGGATCTAAAACTCCGGCCTCTCTGTTCTGGTGTGTCCCCTTCCTCTGCAGTCAAATTTGCTTCACCCCAAGGAAAGCAGCTGATGCTAAGGCCAGACGGAATTCTAGATTGCGGTCCAGCCGGCACCACCCCTGTGCCGGGCAGGCCCCCAGCCGTGCAAACACCCATAGTGTTTTCGGGTGAGTGGCTCACAGCCTCAGGACCCAGCCACCCGACCACAGAAGACCACGTCCCATCCTCGGGACTGTGGAGGTCTAATCATTCAGGGCGTGGCAATACACTCTGTTGGGCTGGGGCAGGGCCTTCCTGTCTGACAGGAAAGTGTGCCAAATTCTGCCAAGCTGGCCTCTGCTCCTTTTCACTGACTGAGGTCCCGCACGGTGAGCCCAGGAGGCTTCTGGGTCTCGTGAATGTGGCGTGAGGGGAGAGGGCATGAAATTGGGGCATCCTTGACAACAATCATCCCATGGATCCTGGGGTCAGCAAATGTCAAGACAGTCTGCAGGTGAAACTATGTGCTTCTTTGGTGGGAAGGCCAGAGGGCCAGAAAGCACCCTGAGTGAGGGCCCTCTGGAGGAGCTTCAAGGGGACCAAGCATCGAGAGTGACCCCCATGGGCTCCCCCACGGAGGACATCTTCCCTGACCTCCTAGGTGGTGTTCTGATTGCAGACGTCACTTTCTGGTAATAAGCTCACCCAACCGTGAACACACGGCATTTTGCCAGCTACACATTATAATCTGATACTTGAGGGCAGCTTCAAACACCTTGTTGTTTTTCTTTCATGTATGCAGACCTTGATTAAATGAAAAACGCCATGAGTTCTTGTGTAATGTGGTTTTTTTTCTTTCAGCTGCCAGGAGCCTGGTGCACAGAAGAAGAGCGTGTGTATGTGTGTGTGTGTGTGTGTGTGTGTGTGTGTGTGTGTGTAGGGAAGGGAGGGGTCTATAAAGAAGAGGACAAGGGGACAGGGCCACTTGACTTGCCCAGGAAGCCTTTGTGCCAGCCTCCACCAACTCTGGGAATTTCCTGGGTTTGCTTCCTACAGACTCAGATAACCCAAATGATGCACCTGGGGTCATGGGGTCACTCAGTGCCAGGCCACCACACACAGCACTGCCACAGCAGGGTGCAAACACAGAGCAGAGCCCTAGGCCAAGTCTACGCTGGAAAGCTCTTTCTCTCCCATTCTCCTAAATTCCACTGCTGGGCTCTCCTTCCTCTGGCACCGATTCATCATCACATGAAACCTCCTTTTCACCTACTGTGTCGGGTCTCAACTCCACTGCCCAGCTTCACAGGTGCCCATAATCTGCCCCGTGCTACCCGGTGGGGGCCCGCCCCCTCGCACCCCACCCATCACAGAACTTGTGCTTGAGCTAGGTGCCTCTCACCCCTGCACACATGCCATGCAGCGCCCACCTTGGATCCATTGCTCATGCCGGCTCCCTCACCAGGACCCCTTCCCTCTCCTATCTGCCCATACCCTCCCACCTCCTGTAGGAAGCCTCCCTGGGGTCTTCATTCCGCTCTGGCCACTCCGGACCCCTACAGCCCTTAGGAAGCATGTTTCACAGTGGGTGGAATGCTTCATCCTTCTATACGGGTTCAGACTATTCTCTCTTCCTGGACTGTAAATGCCTTCAGGACGGACCATGTCTTATCCTTGTTCCGTATTTAGCCTCATACCCTTGGTGCTCAAGACAGCCCGTCAGCTGACTCATTTCATGGAACCCACCTGCTTCTTCACATTCCCTATCTCTGAGCGGATCCTCTGGATCAGGCGGTTGAGCTCTGAGATCTCAGCCTTGGTGAGTTTGAGGTCGTCCCCTTGTTGGCCCGCTGTGACCTGCAGTTCTTGGATCTGACGTTGGGGGGCGAGAAGGAGGAGCAGAGGACCATTGGGAATTCACCTCCCAAGGGTCCTGAGCATGGAGAGGGGGAGGGGGACCACATGCTGTTCTCACTGCCCAAGCAGCAAAGGTACTAGGAGGAGAGATGGGGGGGAGGGACTAGGAGGGAAGGAAAAGGGAGAGAGAGACCACCCTTTCCTTTCAGACAGGAAGGCCCTGCTCCAGCTCAACAGGGTCCTCAGGTCCACAAGGGTGAGAGCCTTGGTGGAGTTCTACGAAGTTGGGAACACAAAGAAAAGCCAAGATGGATGGATTACCCACAGAAACTGACAGAGTCTTCCCTGGGTTGTGGCTCATGTGACCTCTGCTGTCAGCTAGGGCCAACAGCCAAGCCCATATATGCCCCTAACACATGCCAAAGCTGTGGTTGCCCTCCCTGGACCACAGGGGGGCCTTTCCACAAGGCTCAACTCCAAGATAAAAGAGGTCTCAACCCAGCCCAATACACACACACATGCACATGCACACACGAGGAGAGAGTGGCAGCCGTAGTCACTGGGCCTTGCACACCCGGCACACAGCCCACCTTGGTCTGGTACAGGGCCTCGGCCTCGGTCTTGCTCTTCAGGGCGATCTCCTCGTACTGGGCGCGGACCTCGTCGATGATGCTGTCCAAGTTCAGGTCCCGGTTGTTGTCCATGGACAGGATGACAGATGTGTCGCTGATGTGGGACTGCATCTGAGCGATCTCCTGGACAACAGTTAGGGAAGTGGAGCCAGTTAGAGGATCCCCATGAAGAGAGCACATCTCCCAACCCTCCCTGGCCAATCCCTCACTGCCCTCCCTCAGCCTTCCACAGAGCCTACCAGTGCCGGTGTGTGCCAGGCACGAGGGGAGCGCGTTGGGCTTTCAGCCCCAAGGTGGGACTGCCCTCTCCATCATGCACTCAGGCCTGCACCTACCCCTATTCCACACTCTATGACTTCATCCGGAATATTAGATCTGAGCGTGGCACACAGAGCTTCTCTAGGATCACCGGCCGCCTTCCCTTCCCCAGGCCCCTCACGGTTTAGCACAACTCAGGCCACGCATCCAGCTCCCTCAGGCGAGACCCCTGTGCCATTCTCAGCACCCCCTGAGATTTTCCTCATCCTTCTCTGGGAACCTTCCCTGGCGGCTCAGGCAGAACTCTCTATACCTTCCTCTGCTCCCCGCCAGAGCTCATCTGCAGGTTGTTTTCCCTATCGGACTGGGACTTCCTGGAAGACAGGGATCACTTATTCTCCATCAGGCCCTCCTCAAGCCCACCTCATTGCTCAGCAAACGTCAGCTGCACTGAGCTGCCAACCTTCGGTCGACACGTCCATGCAGGCCGAGGGCCAGAAGCCACTTGTGAGTAGCACAGACCACACAGGAGAGCTCAGCGATATCCTTACCCCTTCATAGAGGCACTTGAAGAATTTGATCTCATCCGTCAGGGAGTCCACCTTGGCCTGGAGCTCAACCTTGTTCATGTAGGCGGCATCCACGTCCTGGGGGACACAGAGAGGAGCCAGCTGCCTTCCCCTGCCCTCCCTCCCTGCCACAAGGAGCCTCAGGTTCCCTACGGGCTCTACTCCCCTCTCCCTGGCCTCCACAGGGAGGCCCGGCTGCTGAGAGCAAACCATCCAATGCGCGGGGCGATGGCCGTGCCAGAAGTGTGGCGAAATGTGTGGTCTGGAAGGTGGCAGGTTCTGGGAGCATGCATCCCAGGCAAGGGGACTTAGGAGAGCAGGGAAATTAGAACCCCGGTCACCCTTTCCTCAGCCTACCGACATCACTGTGTCAGATGTTCAGGGAGCTTCCCTAGGCCTCCTCCAGCCCTTCCTGCTCCCCTCTTACCTTCTTGAGCACCACAAACTCATTCTCAGCAGCTGTGCGTCGGTTAATCTCCACCTCATACCTGTGTGCGGCAAGAGAACGGAGGTGGCGTTGCCACTGGGATAATTCAGTTCTGCAAATGCTCCCTGAGCAGTTGGTGATCACCTCCATGCCCAGAGCTGCGTGGCAGTGGCCTACAAACTGGGGTTCACGTACCCTTGGGGCATGCACAGCCTTCTAAAGGGGACGTGACGGGAACAGGTTTAAAGGAATTCACATCCAGCTCCTTCGTTCACATGTGACCTATCCTGCCGTGCAGCTGCCCTAGAATGCACCTGTGGGGGGCTTCACTGTCCCTCCTCTGTTTCACAACTACCCCCACCCTCCTGACAGCAGAAAGACGCACCCCTTCTGCCATCCGGCCCCTTAGCACAGTGCATTAGCCCATGGTGCAAAACGTCCCAGGCACCAAACAAAACACTATCCCCACCTTCGAGTTGTTTCTACTGGGTTTTTTTTATATATATATATACATATTTCTGTTCCAGATGAAGCAAGGTCTTAGAAACAGGATGCTTGGATAGGACTGGATGTTCTTCATGCAGATATATCATAGATTGGGGAGACAAGAGTATAGATGACTCAAAGACCTATGTCACCTCTCACTGTTGTCAAAGAATGTTGAATAATGAATCTTAATTAATGCTAGAAAATGGCTTGTTTCCACATGATTTAACACGAGCAATCCATTTCAGCTTTTCCCTTCTTCCTAAGGCATGCCACTGGCTGCCAAGGGGGAAAAAGGCCTGCTGAATGACTCAAGTAGTACAGGTTAGTGAAGTGGGTTATTTTAAAATGTGACTGGCACATTTTCTGAACCTGCCGGATTTTGTCAGTCACATGGATAAAATACATAAAAAACAGTTGATACGATTTATCTCAGATTCCATGTGGGTTACTTAAAAGACAATTGAATACCTCTTTTTATCAAATAGTTGTTTCTATTACAATTTATCATTATCTCACATTATCTTAGAAAATATTCCATCTTTCTTCCTCCCGTTAACAAGTAAGAGCATACCCTAGTTGCAGACCAATTAGTTTTTAGCCGATCTTTCTATTCCATAAAATACATAGAAAAAGTTTGATCATGATGGCTATCAAAATTAATCACGTTCATTTGGCCATAATTTTTCATTAGGTACTTCTAGAAACCAAACAGCAGAACATACACATCTACACCCTTTTATAAAGAAAAAGAACGCATCTCATAGCACTATTGACTTTGGAACTAACTTATAATTTACAAAATACATTATAATGCATACATAAAAGTTAAGCCACAGCCAAATGCATATTGATTTTTTGTTTTAGAACACAGACATATTAATTATATTAAATCTCTATCACTTTAATCTTGAATGCTTCCAATAACCTACTGTACAAGATGTAGACTTTCATTCCTTGCCAAGTGGATTTTACAATAGTTCCCAATTCATTTCATTATTTCATTTCATCCCCACGGTAATCCTGAGAAATAGCCTCTATTATTATCATCTCCCAATTTTATACATGAGGCAAAGACATAAAGCTAGTTAATAGTAAAGCTAGGATCTCAGTGACATCAGGACACAAGGCCTTAGTGTTGCCTAGCACTTTGGTTCTTTTAAGAGCTGTTAATACATTACTTTCTGGCATTACCCTCTCTCAACAGCTCGTGCAAGTGGCGAGGCAGGCAGCAGTATCTGAATTTTATAAATATTAAAGCTGAAGTTCTCAGAGGACTGAGTGACTCATGGTCATGGTGGTGACTCCAGAACACCATGGCTTCCCTGGTCTGAAAAGCCCAGAGGCAGCATGATCTTTGGATGCTTCTGATCTGGACATCTGGGCTCTGCCTGGAAATCCCCTCTTTTCCTCCAGAATTCTACCCAAATATCCAATGGGGTGGCATTTCCATCTTAACGCCACTCAGTCTCAGTTCACACTGTATTCATTTCCACTGCCTGGGGGCTCTCTGAGCGTGTTCTTTAAGCCTGTCCCCATAATCTGTGTGCTTTCAGCACTATAGACTATGTCACCTCCTCCCTCAGGATTCCACGCAGGTCTCAGGGCAGAGTTCCACTTGGGACTACTTCAGAACAGGGGTGGACAGGCAGACCGAACATGGAGCAAGAGAAATCACTTGGCTCTGACCATCTCCATCCCCTTGAATTGTGGAAGAAGTCATCTTTCCCTAGAGATCCTGGCACCTGAAAGCCAGCTTCCAAAATACCAGATCACACTGAGCCGGGATGGCTCAAGCCTGGGGGAAATTAATGGGATTCAGCAGCACAGATATGCCGCAGCATGAAAAAAGTTTTTAAAACCCTTGTTCGCTCAGCTTTAGGTTTTGCTCTGGGATTGGCGTGATGGCTCACATCCTAGGTACTCCTGTGGAAGGCCCCTCACACAGGAGGAGCTACAATGCCACCTGGGCTGTCCATCTGGTTTTGAGACAGCCCTCTTGTCCCCATGTCTCCATTTCCAATGTGAGAATGGGCACACCATTTCCTAGGCGATTCAGGGCACCACTTTGGGTAGAGATCCTTTCTCTTCCTATGTCTCAACCTGTCTGGATCTCCCTTCCTCCCCAGGGGAAAGGAAATCACACATGGTATCAGCAAAGGACCTAAGAAGGCAAAAATGCTGGCTGCAAATCGAAACCTCAATCTGTCATCAAGACCCTCCAGTGGCGGATTCTCCGCCTCTCCACTCACCTCTTCTTGTAGTCCTCCACCAAATCCTGCATGCTTCTCAGCTCCGAGTCCAGCCGCACCCTGTCGCCTGTCTGTGTCTCCAGCTGCTTCCGGAGGTTGCTGATGTAGCCCTCATAAATGGACTCCAGGTTCTTCCTGCAGTTGTTCAGGTCTAACTGCTGCAGCAGGTTCCACTTGGTCTCCAGCACCTGGTTCTGCTGTTCCAGGAACCGCACCTGGAACCCAAAGGTGGTCATAGCACAGAATCCCCCTTCTGTTCTTGCCTCTCCACAGTGGGGAGAGAGGGCCCCAGAAGTCAGATACAGTCGGTCTTGGATGGGAGGGAGGAAAGAGCAAGACTCATCAGAGAATGGATTCAGCCAGGGGGACGTGCCTTTCTGGGTCTCCAAGACGAGAAATCAGATTGAGTCTAAAAGAAATCGGGAAGTAGGCTTACGCAGTGCTATAACTGCCACCGTGAGTTATCATGTGATGGAAGTAGCTTCTTTTGCTGTAAATGCTGGTGTTTTCAGAGTGAAGGAAGATGGGAAGCAAGGGAGGAACAGTGCAGGGGTGGGGAATGGCATTGGAAAGTCACTCTGGCCATTAACACGTTCTCTCTTATCTGCAACCTAAGTTGCTCTTGGTTGGTTTCTTCGGTTTTCATTTCAAAGCGGGTTCTCACATCTTTAGAAGGTTCCTTCATACTTGACCAAAAGTCTTACATGTTTGGGCTCAGTAACTTCAAGCCTCTGCTACTCGCTAGCCTTCCTCTTCTTCCCTACCTCTAGCTTGAGGGAGAGAAGGAAACATGAGGGGGAAGAACAGACTTTGAACAGGAAAATGAGCCCTGTCCTCTGGGACAGTAGCTCTGTTTCTTCCAGTCCTTCCCTCTCCCCTCCAACCACTTCCTTCCTCTTCCTGAGCACAGCGGTGAGGGACACAGTCCTCTGTTGCTGTTCTATCAGCCTGGGCATGTTTACTGGCCTCCTGCCATGTTGGTTTCCTCATCCGCAAGGCAGAATGATAACACAATCACGGGTTGTGTGTTGATATATGGGAACCCCTTGGGACAGCACCGGGCACTGAGTAACATCAGCTCTTGTCAGTATTATGTCCCCTGTGACTCATGGCCTAGACCTTCTGCCCCAGGTTGGATACAGAAGCACACTCCTTCTCTCCTCTTCATTCTTTGGGGTCACTGCCTCTGAGTCACCAGAGACAGCTTCCCTTTTAACCTCCGCATGCTCCCATCCCCACAGACACATAGAGAATGCACACCTGTAACTCAACATGCCCTCCTTCTCAATCTCCCTTCTCCCCTCCCCCACCCCCAGCCCCAGCTTTCAGTTTTCTGGTCCTTTTCTTTTCTTTTTTTTTTTTTTTTTTTTCAACGTTTTTATTTATTTTTGGGACAGAGAGAGACAGAGCATGAACGGGGGAGGGGCAGAGAGAGAGGGAGACACAGAATCGGAAACAGGCTCCAGGCTCTGAGCCATCAGCCCAGAGCCCGACGCCGGGCTCGAACTCACGGACCGCGAGATCGTGACCTGGCTGAAGTCGGCCGCTTAACCGACTGCGCCACCCAGGCGCCCCTCTGGTCCTTTTCTTTCCTCTCCTCTAGACACCTTCCTGGCTTATACCCCCATCCTACCTCCGACTTTGTTAAGTCCTTTCCCTTCACCAAGCATCACGTCCTGTGATACTCCCTGGTCAGTGTCCCTCTTGTGCTCCTGTCCTGGATATATGTACCCATCTCCTTGTGTGATAATTGAGAGCTCTCAGAGGGCCATTTCACAAGTCTCCTGCCTGTGGCGCACCCCGTTCCGACCCCGGGTCTTGTCCACAAGGATAAAATGAAGCTTCTGTTTACCATGGGTCGTGGGTCGGGGGGTGGGGGTGCCTAGCACTGTTCCAAGCACTTTAGAAACATCCAATTCACCCTCACATCCTCATGTGGGGTAAGAGCCACAGTGTGCCCATTTTACAGAAGAGCCAAGGGAAGCCCAGAAAGGATAACCGGCTGGCCCAAGTTTTCACATAGCTGTCAGTGGCAGAGCCAGCACCCCGGTGCACACTGGTCACCAACGCAAGGCCGCACAGATGCCTGAGGACCCACCTTGTCGATGAAGGAGGCGAACTTATTGTTCAGCGCCTTGATCTGCTCCCGCTCCTGGGCGCGCACCTTCTGGATCTCGGGGTCCAGCTCCACGTGGAGGGGGGCCAGGAGGCTCTTGTTGACGGTGACCTGAGGGATGCCGCCGGGTGGGCACACGGACGGGCACGCGGGCCCCAGCCCGGCGCTGCCGAAGACGGTGCCCACGAAGCCGCCCAGCCGGCCGCCGGTGCCGGAGCAGTGGCCCAGCGCGTAGGCGCCGCCCCGGCCGGCCGCGGCGCACAGAGCCAGGCGCCGGCCGCCCCCCAGGCTGAAGAGGCTGCGGCTGCCGAAGGCCGCCGTGCTCTTGACGCCGGCCCGGAACGAGGCGGAGCTGCCGCTGACCCGGCCCGCGATGACGGCCGAGCAGCCGCTGAAGCTGGGGCGCTCGCCCGCGGGGCGCTGGTGCAGCTGGCGGCTCATGCTGTGGGGACCGGGTGCGGGCGCGTGCGGAACGCGGGATAGGGGCGCGGAGGCCGGCTGCGCTGGTCGGCCTGGCTCGCCCCCAGCCCCTTAAATAGGCGGCTGGAGGCAGCCTAATTTGTAGGTCGGGAACACCTATTAGCCACCTGGGGCCTCTCCGTATAGGAGATTACCACCTCTCCCTGAGATTTGTCTCCCCCCCACCCCCCAACCGTGAACTCCCCATGAATCCCCTATAAAATGGCTCGGAACCCCGCATTTGGTTTGCTCACCTCCTGCATTATAATAATTTGGCTACCTTATCTTCACTTGCTGTCCTCCAATTACTGGGGTTATCACTGTCAAGATCTGTGGTGGAAGCTTCCAGTGGGTCTGGCTGGGGTTGCGGGGAGACACCCTTTAGAGGTGGAGGGGTGTGGTACAATGGAGCAGATGGCCAGGCGGGTTCTGCTTCCGAAGGACATGAACAGGGTCAAGAATATTCCAGAGAATCATCCTTAGCTTGTGGGCTGCTGCTTTCCCAAGGCTTCTGGATAAAGACGGCTCTGACCTGAGTACTGGAAGGAAGTCCCAGAGGGTGGAGATTTCTGGTCTGTCTACAAGGAATTCTACGTCTGTTGAGGCAGATCAGACACAGTGACAAAGTTAAGGCCAGTGGGAGCTCTGGTCACAAGAGGTGGAGGGTGAGGACTTTGGGCCAGAGCTAAAAGGGTTCTCCAAAAACACTTCTGGAATAAAAGTGAGGGAGATGCTAGAGGAGATGGAACAAGAAAGCTTTAGGAAGATGGTCTTTCGTGGGATTTGCGTGTTTTCTTTTACTTTGATAGCAGAAGATGATCATTCGTCCCATGCAAGGAACCCCTGATCGGGACATTTGCTGCCTTGGCATTTCTGATTCTGGATCAAAATGTGACTGATGATTAAGAACAAGTCGAGAAGGGCTGAGGAAGAAGACTCCTCCAATCTGAAAAACTAAGAATTAGATTCTAGAACTTCATTCCAAGTAAGTTCAAGAGTATCTTTTCCAATCGAACCCAATTTCCTTTTTCCAACTTAAGTTGCCTCTAAGTCTTCTCTTCTGTTAGAATCGGCCCCTCTCAGGGGCACCCGGGTGTGTCAGTTGGTTAAGCAGCTGACTGCAGCTCGGGTTTGGCTCAGGTCATGATCTCCCAGTTGGTGAGTTCAAGCCTGGTATCTGGCTCTGCATTGACAGCCTGAGTGGGCTTGGGAGTCTGTCTCTGCCCCTCCCCCACTCTCACTCCCTTCCCATAATGCCCTTCTGACACCCTGGTGGGCTTCTGCTTCATCACTCTTATTGCTCAGTCTGTCTGAGTCCTGAGTATATGTCCCATTTCCACCATCAGGTTAGCAGGTCCTTCTGGATTAACCCTTCCCTCCCCTGCTCACTGGTGTTCAGTCCCAGCCTTGGCACCAGGGACATTCAGGATGAGTGTGAAACAGACTGGTGCTTAGGACAAGGCTCATTGCTGTGCCCTCAGTTATACCCTGGAGCCTGGACTCCCCCTTGGAACCCTCGTGGAATGGCCAGATGGTACCTGGGTGTAGTTGAGTGACACAGCCTCCACTGAACCAATCAGAGCATAATAACAGCCAAGGTGTTTACCCCACAGGGAACAAGGCTGTGGGGACATTGGTGAGTGATAGAGATGGCGCCAGCCACAGATAAACAGATAGAGGAGTCTAGAAGGTCCTGGGTGGAAAAGAGAGTGGGCTCTCTATGCTGCCTCAGGGGAGACACTACAGTCTATTCCCTCTGAAGAGGAGAGGGGCCATGTCAATGAAGCTGGGTGACCAGCAAGCCCTTTGAGAAGTTCAAGGTTAGGCTTTCCATTATTTCATGAGATTGTTTCTTATGCCCCATAAATGTAGCCAGGTTTTTGTCCCCCACAAGCACAAGAGAGAGTTTATTAACTCTGACCATTGAGAATAGAAGAGAAAAAAAGTATTTATTGAAACAGAAGAAACTTACATAGGATTGGGTTTCAAAGGGAGCCTTTGAAGTCTCCTTTTTTTTTCTGGACACTTTCTAAGAAGTTGAGACACCCAGGCATCTGGAACCAAGCCACTTCTGCCCAAGGTCAGGGAACAGGCAGGATGACCTTTTCTCATCTTCCCTTGAGGGGTTGACTGGCCAGATGAATCAGGAATTCCTTTGAAGCCCCAGGCTTACCTTCCTTACAGATTATGGAGAGACAGAAGTGATACAACCAGGTTTGGAAGGCATGGGATGTGTGGGGATGTGGGCAGGTCAAAAGGTGGCTGAGGTCTGGGAGGAGGGCTTCACATTGGAGGTGCCTCTGACAGCAGCCTACTGTCATTTGGGCTCCAGTGACTACCTCTGCCATTAGTTCCAGGTGGGAACAACACTTGGGTTGGTAGACTAAGCCAGAAGCATCACCCTTTGAAACAAGAGCTCAACAACAAAGGATGGACGGATGGATGGATCCTTGAAGCAAGGCTTTGCAAACATATTGCAATTAAACTGGCTCTCGTTTGCCCGGGAACCATAGTTCTTAGGAGATTAATAGGTACCGTGTAGAAAAAAAGCGTGGGGATGGATTCTTTTTTGGGTTTTTTAAAAAAAAAAAAAAAAGGTTAAGCAGGCATCATATTGTGGGACTTTTTAGATCCATCACTATGCTTAGGAAAGCTACACCAAAGGATGCTGCGAAACTCAGTGTTTTCCAAAGATGGTGACTGGGAAGTGTTTTTTTTCTATTTTTTAACATTTCCAAATTTTCTCATGTGAGCATATCATGTTTTTATAGATGAGTTATTGAAAAAAAAAACTGGAGAAGAAAGGGAGGTAGGCCGATTCCAGTATCAGAAATAAAGAACTGTTTTTGTCCAAAAAAAAAAAGTGTGTGTGTGTGTGTGTGTTCGTGTGTGTGTGTGTGTTTCCCAAGCTTTTGCTTGACCATAAAGACCTCTTTTTGGCCAAATATTTTATAGGAACCAGCATTTCAAGGAATGTGCTTTAAGACACACTGAACAAGTTATCTCTATTTCACCATTAGATAGACTTACATTTCCCAAATCCAAGCAGTCTTCCAATATCTCCTTAAAAACATGAAGGAGAACTAAATATAATTACCATAGCGTGCAGCCTCATCTGGTCTATAGCACTGTGCCTAACATGACATTGTCAAAGGCAGAGGGAAGTTATTTGCTTGGACGAGGGCACATGTGCTGGTGCCATCTCAGCACGGCTCATGGGGAAAAGAATTCTCGAGCTGGTCACCTGGTTGGTTGGTCACCAACCAAGAAGGTTGTGCCAGAGACTTCTAATGCTTATCAAGTATCCACCTTCTTGTCCTCATTTCCCAGCCTCCTTTGGGGTTTGGTTGGGGCTTGGGACCCTATTGGCCAGTTAAATATGAGTGGTATCTAGGGTGAGGCAGTTAATAGTCCATGTGTCTCTTTCACCTCTCATTTTCCCTTTTCCAGTAAGTAACCTTGAGGCCACATGTCCCATGTGGCCAGGCTCAAGACAGAAGCGCGTAGTTCTGTGGGGCACCCACTGGGAGAATCGTGTGGGATTGCTGCCCAAATCGGTCTCGGACTATGAGTGAGAAATGAACTTCTATTGTGTTGAGACACTGAGACTTCAGAGTTTGTCCATGGAGTCAGTCAGTGTTCATATTCTGATCTAAGCATACGATGGTAGAAATACCTCTTAATAGCCAATGCGTTTTCTCTTTAGTTCATTTTCACATTTTCATCGAATAATCTGATTGCTATCAGACCTTCTGCACTTCACATCTCAGCCTTTTTGAAAGACTAGTCTATCCTAATAATGCTAAGAGGGACAGTAGTAACAATGATATAGTAGCAACTATTTATTGAGCACACACTATGTGCCAGATATTGAACAAAATAATAATTCTTGTGCATTCTTCAGCTAAACTTAATTCTCATGACAACTTTATGCAGGAACTTCTAATAGTAACTTCTTTATGCGATGAAGAAACTGAGATTCATGGAGCAAAAGTGTTTTGCCTAAGTCACATTGTGAGTGGCGGAGGGGGACTGAAACCTGGGTTTGTCTGATGCCCAAGGTGTTGGCTTCTCCTGTGAGCACTATGGTGTAAAATCCCAGCTCTGTAGCCAATTGAGAGGACCTCTCTGATGCGGCTGCTGCCGCCCTCCCCAGCCCCCCAGCACCACTGCACCCTCCCTCTCCACCTGCTGTAATCCCTCCAGCAGCCTCCTCTGACCTCCTTGGAGCTCCTCACTCTCCTCTGTGCTGTCTCTGTATCACCTTTTGTTACCAGCATCTCACTGTGTTACAGTTACGTTTATTACCATCATGTCACCATCAAGAGCATGGACCAGGTTTGCCTACCACTATATCCCCAACACTGTGTGCCAGGCACATGCTAGATACTCAACAAATACTCATTGGACTGATTATAAGTTCTTTACTGGCCCCGAGAATGTATTCTCTGAGACTAGCTATTCTGCCAGCCGATTCTCCTGTGGGCAATAAATGAATTGGAATATAGTTTATGAGATGGTCTCTTTAAATTTTTTTAATGTTTATTTATTTATTTTTTGAGAGAGAGAGAGAGAGAGAGAGAGAGTGCAAGCTAGGGAGGGACTGAGAGAGAGGGAGACACAGAATCTGAAGCAGGTTCCAGGCTCTGAGTTGTCAGCACACAGCCCAACGCAAGGCTCAAACTCACGAACCGTGAGATCATGACCTGAGCCAAAGTCGGACACTTTCTTAACCGACTGAGCCACCCTCAGGCGCCCTGAGGTGGTCTCTTTAAAGTTTGGAGCTTGCAAATTGCTTTGCCACCACTAAACACCTCTTTTCAGTGAGCAGATTTAGTCAAGTGTTTGAGCCAAGAAAATTGAGGACAAGATCCTGTTTCCACTGACATTTATTAAGTATGAACTTTGTACCAGAAGTTGCATAAGACATGCTTACATTGCCTCATTTGGGCATAATAATCATCCAGGGGTGATTGGTCTGC